CAATTTGTGACATCTCAGAGTATAAATGTGAAAGGCATTAGAATTCGTTAATTTTTGTTTTTTCCAGTACATATATTGTCTAATAGATTTAAAAGTAATGTTGCGGCAAGCACCATGTCAATTATAAGCTAGAAAATATATACTAGTTTGTAAAAGAAAAAGAAGTTGTCATAGACATTTTGGATGGAGTGCCAATATGTTTGGAAAACTCCAAAAACAAGTAAAAGACTTGTTGAAGCTTTCGTCATCTTCTATATTCAGTGAACCTGCTATAAACTTCATTATCACTTAAAACTTTGCAACCCTCCAGATCTGAAGGCCGGTTTATTAACGTACAATAGGATCTTACATTTCTTTTACCAAACGTGATTTCGGTGTTATATCCAAGTTTTATCACTCTGTTAAATAATGGTTTTTGTAATTCTCACTACAGTCAAATCTGTATTGAGTGGTCACCCTTGGGGATTGATAAAATAACCTCATAAAAACAGGTTCTACAGTAGAGGGGTAATATACAGTGGCGGATGTAGGGGAGGGGCCTGTGCCCCCTTTATTTTGAGTAAAATAAAAAAGAATCTTAGGAGGAAGAAAAGCCGGCAGGGCAAGCGACAAAAAACCGGGGTTCCCCCCTTAGCTCAAGGTCTGGATCCGCCTCTGATATATATAAAACAACTAAAAATGCCATTCTATGCCATTATTGGCCACTTATGAACAAACACTTGCCCAAAAATACTACTAAAATTGATTTCGGGAGAGAAACATGGATTTAATTTTATTTGAAAAATGATTCTTAGTTTTAATTGAGTGGTTCCTTTTTAAATGATTGTTCAACATAGGTGAAAGACAATACAAAAAGGCCGCTGGGATTCACCCAAAGGTGAACACATTGCTTAATAGAGGTGGACATAAGCGACCGCTTAATACATGATGGCCGAACAGGTGCGACTGTATTACTCTGTTGAAAGAAAAATGACATTTTTGCGAGGTGACACTCCCTTGAAAACAGCCTCCTTGTCATTCTACCTCCAGACCCACCCTACCCCCTCCCTCTTTCTTTCTGAACTTATTTATATCTCGATTCCGTGCGATCTTCCCCATACTCCTAAGGTTGACAACACGCATGCTCACTAGTTCATGTTAATGTTAATTTATCATCCAGTTCCTCAAGGTCGTTTAAAATGGTTTCGTTGATAGAACGATGCTCTCTGTCCACCTTTTATTACACTCTAATATCAATATGCATATTCTCCGTAATGTTTTCTGTACATTACTAAAGTG